AAAAAAAAAGCCCTGTGAAGAATGCAGTCCACACAGGCCCCCCAGAAAATAAAGATGAGCCACCCACAGACACACACCAATCCTGCTGGATTTGAGTTGCCAGGAAACAGAGATTTGGTGTCCTCTTGCACCCTTGTGAGACAAAAGCTATCCTGAAAGACATTGATCCTGATGTACCTACAGGGACCCCAGGAGGAGAGTGGCTTTCAGACTCTGTTCTGAGTTCTAAGGGACAGCATGCATTTGCCTGTGCCAGGCACAGCTCTACACATTTCACATATTAATCTTCACAACCAGGTTATGGTGCTATCTTGCCTCAATTTCACAGTGATACATTAGTATGTCTGACGTCCCAAGTTTCTTCCCAGTCTAGCTCCAGCCCCTGGGCAAGACAACTCTCCTCTCACAGCCCCCAAACCATTGCTTTTCTGGCCTCTTCCCTTCTCCCCGCCTCCACCAAAAGCCTGGCTCTTGCTACATAAAGTACATAACATTGTTCTTTGCATAAGGTCAAATGCCAGATATATTCTCTTAATATTCCAACGCAAGCCAAGTCTTTGTGGACTTCAGGATTTGCAGAGAACTGGGTGTTTTCCATGCACGATAGGTTCTCTCTGCTGGCAGAGGCTATTCAACAGGCACATACAATTTACCTACCAAGCAACAGCTATTGACAGAACAAGTTTACCGTTGCCATATTGTAAATGATGGCTTATGGAGTAGCTGGCATTGCCAGTGCTAGGTCTGTGAATAATCCAGAAGAGAACTTCATGTCACAGACCAGCTCAGGTTTCAGTATGCTTCACTAGCTTGATGAAAAGATAACGAAGATAATGGATTTGGGAGCAGAAGTATGTATTAGATGGTGCATAAGACTTTTATTTAAATAATGAGAGAAAGATCTTAAAAATAAAACTCTATTCTGGAATACTTTTCAACTCTTGAAAAGGAAAGAAAGCAAAGCGTTAGAAAAATGAAGTAGGGATTAAATGCAGAGGGTGGGAGAAAGCAAAGAGTCCAGGAAAGAATGGAAGGGAACTGACGGATTTGTGAGAGAAACTGAGAGCAGGAGCAAGCATAGATGTGCATTTGCAAATCCTGTGACGGGCAAGCGTGCTTTGCTAAATAGACTGCTCTTCAACCCAATAGAGTGGGAAACCTCTTGGCAGTTGACGTATGTCATCTTTCTGTTTGGATCCTAGAAAGAGCTTGTGGGTAGATAGAGCAGACTGTGGAGAGAGCTGAAGGTGGATCCACTCAGACTATGGAGAACATTCTAGATCACTGCTTTCAAACAGCAGTGCATAGGCCCCTGCATCTGAACCACCAGGGGAGCTTGTGCCAAACACCGGGACCTACTCCAGATTCATGGCATCAGACTCTCTGGGTCAGGACTGGGAACATGCATGTGACCCAGTTCACCACAGGATTTTCATGCCTCAGAGTCTGAGAACCACTGATACAGGTGCATCACTGTCTCTCTTTTGTTATTGCTCAGAGCAGGACTCTATTAATTCTTTATTAAAATAAGAAAAAAGAAGGGCCAGTGTTGTGGCTCTATGGTAGAGCTCTTGCCTAGCATGCTTGAGGCACTGGGTTCGATCCCTGACACCACATAAAAATAAATAAACAAATAAAATAAAGGTATATGTCCATCTACAACTAAAAAAAAATTAAGAAGAAAAAGGTATGACACTAACGGGGAAATTCTCAAGTTTCATTTTGGAAGTACTAGATCATTTAAGGAGTCAGTCCGGGATGACTAGTGGAATATTTCAGGCATCAGCACACAGTCATTATGTACCTATGATTTCCTAGCCCAGGAAAGGCTACACAGTCAGATCAACAGCCTCTTCAAAGCTCAGCACACTCCTCAAAGTCAGATTGTCAGCCTTGAGTTGCCATCAAGTCCAGATTTTGACCTACTGACTGGTCCCCTCTTTCATATTTTTAAATTGTTTCCTTAGCTTCCAAGACTTCACTCTCTGAAATTCCCCCTCCTACTTCTCAGGCCAAATTGTCCCCATATCCTTTCTTGGGTCTTTCTTCTCCACCCTCTCTGTAAACACTGCTCTCCAGGGCCCAGCTTGGCCTTCAGCTCCCCCTGCCCTCAGCCCTATGGCAGGTGCTCTGGTCCATGCCCACGGCCTCTCCCTCTCCCCATTCTCTCATTACCCGCTAGTCTACAACCTCATCCAAAACTGTCTCCCGAGCTCCACGCCTGCCAACTACCTGTTGGACATCACCATCATACACACCAGGGGCTCCTCACCTAACAAATCCCCAGTCATATCCATAATGCCTTGACTCTTAAATGTGACCTTCCCCTGAAGTCCTTCTCCTTGATAATGCCACCTGGCCACCCATGTCACCATGCTGGGACTCAGCCCTCTCCTTTGCCCACAATACTGGGCTGGTCCCAAGTGCAGGCAAGTTCACCTTCTAAATCCACCACCCTCTCCGTCCCTATTGTCACTAACATCTGAACTTTGGCAAAGTTTCCTTTTTTCTTCACATTGAGGCTCCAACTGAGCTGCTCAGCCCTTCTTGCTATAAGAGTTCTCTCCTGCTCTTCAGGGGCTCCTCATCATTGGAAGTTAAATCCAGCTGTTGGCATGGACTATGAAGCCGCCATCACCTGGCTCTTCTCCTTCATTCAAAATCAGCACCCCATCATTCAGAGTATGACCACAGGTCCTTTGCACATGTGCATACTCCAGCCCAAAAACATCTCTTTGGGCCTGGAAATCACCTCTTGTAAGACCTTTCACTATTTGCAAACATTTTCTTATGTTTATCTTTCCTATCAGTCACAGACAGGGTCTACATCTGGACATATTCCAAATCCAGTACCCAGCTCCAGGTGTGAATGCTTGCCAAGTGACTGCACAAGCATATGGTAGAGCAGCAGAGGAAGAGACTGAAGGGAGAATCTCAGGCAGTCATGAAGGTCCAGGCAAAAGGTGAATCAGGTTTGGGTTGGGATGAGGACAGTGAAGATGACAGCAGTAATAAGACCCACACTCACAGTGCCCAGTGCTCAGCCCTGGTCCAGAGCTGATGTGGACTTTTTCTTTTTTGTTGGTTTTCTGGGTGGATTTCTGAATCCTGCTTGGCTACTGCCTCACCCCACCATGCAGTCCATGGCACTGGCGACCCCAGAGAAGGTATGACCCCATGGAATTCAGAGAGTGATGAGTCAAATCCACAGTTTTATTGAGATGTCATTCACATAAAAACCCCCATCCTAAGTCACTGATTCAATGATTTTGTGCGAAGTTCTAGTTTTAGAACACGTCCATTGCTCACTGGTAGGATTTAAGAGAAACTATAATATGTCCAGCATCTTCTATGCCCAGCCACCTCCAGAATAAGTCCAACCTTGACCCCTGGTTCCCTCCCACAGCCCCTCCACCTCCTGGAGGCACAAGGTTGACAGGTCTCGGTCAGCCCAGGGCTTCTCTCTGGGCAACCTCCCAAGTGGTCCTACTAATCCTCCTGGGAGCTGTGGGATGAGGGGGCCATTACATGACCATCTCTGAGACCTAAGATAAACCAAACTCCTCTGCCCACAAAGTACCCCAAAACTTCACTGGCATAAAAACAAGACCTGGATTCTATTTGTAACCAGGCCTCTTTTTGAAATTGCAGATTAAGTGTTATGCTGCAGAGGGATTCTGGAAGGACCATGGGAGGGGAGGGAGGTGGACACAGAGAAGAAACAGAACAAACAGAAGGAGCTCCTGCTTTGGGGAGACTGTTCAGCTTGTTCTTATTTTGACATGGGGACAATTTCTTGCCTGTTAAGAGACAAGGTCATGCCTCAGATGGCTGCACGGACTGCCACTGATGGTCTGTCATGTCATCACTCGGCACTCACTGCCCAGCTCAGGAACCTTTGGAACGTGTCCTTACCACGCAACCCCACACCCATCCAGAAGCCCGGCAGCCCCCCACACACTGAATGCCCTAACCCATATGGGTCTGCAACTAGCTGCAAAAGCATGCATCAAATTTACTTTCCAAAGGGGCCAAGGGATATGTCAAAGGTTCTAAGAACCATCCCCCGGATAGCATCAGCAGACAGTAACGATGGAAAGGAGACTCTATAACCCTCCTGATTCTTCTGAAAGCAATCGCATCCGACAGTCCAGTCTCAGTCACTTGAGGAAGGTGCTGGCAACAGGGGAAAGATGGTGGCTTTGGTGACCAAACACTGCTTTGGGGGACTCATATGAAAAGTTATGCTGTCTTTGCAAGGGGAGAGAGACAATATTGTTCTACATGCCCATCACAGAGGCATCCCAAAGTGGCCCAGTTTCACCAACCACATTCCAGAGCGCTTTTCCTCACATGCCCAGACGGAGAAAAGGCCTTTGTAATGACTTCGTGCTCAGCCAAAAGTAAACACACTCTCCACTTTTTCCATGGACAAATCCTAACCCCAAATTGCCAGCACTGGCCTCTCCACAATCCAAATGGAAAGCCTCCTTTCCCAAGAAAATAAAACCTTTTTAACTCAATAATACATCTTGGCTGCAAAAGCAAACTTTCCTGAAAGCTTCCTAGAAATTATTTATCATGCAATCACGCAGCCAGGCTGCAGATCGCCTGAGCAAATCCTACCAATAGGACAAAGGCACTCAAAATACATAGGACAAATGATCCAGGAATAAATGCTCACTCCAGCACACCTGCACTTGCAACTTAGGCAGCACATTTTATAACTCACACAGGATCCGCCACACACATACACACACACACACACACACACACACAGAGTTCGCTGCCTCCTAATTGGAATATTCTTTCTGAAAACAGGCTGTGATAAGACAGGTGCTGATTTGAATAAAGAGCAAAATGGCATTCCAGATCTGAGCTCGGCAGCGCTTTGGTACATGTCAAACGCACATCTCACTCCTCTCGCACATTCCAACTCGAATCCATGTGATCCAACTTCAGTTCTCCACAGAGTAGTAAGAAACGACTTGAGGACTTACCAGGTTGGAATTGGTGGCATTGGAATCATCTTCTGGAAAGGGAATATAGATTGCTAAGGCCACACAATTGGCAAAAATAGTCAGTAAAATAATTATTTCAAATGGTCTGAGGAAGGGAGTTAAGGAAGTTAACGCTGCAGCGAGCCCAAGTGAAACAAATATACATCTCTCTATTTTTTTTTAAATGAATCAAAGATTGGTAAGAATTTTGTTTAAACAATGCATTCCAAGCCCCTTGTATTCTGAAAAGAAACATATGCCTTTTTAAGTGCTTCTAGTGGGGCCCCGCCAAAATTTTTCCTAATATGTCAAAAGCAGTGGAGGCCAGTCGCGTGCCAGAGTAAACACAGATTTCTAAAAACTTTTTTCCCCTTCTTTTATTTATTTAGATTGCATTTGACTTCATTTTCCCTCATGTGGACTTGGAGTGGCTTTTACAGGCTGTACCTGCCCCAGGCAGGGCTCCCTGGATCCCCGTTTCCACGTGGCTTCTGCGCTGCCACCAGGAGACCCAATCGCACCTGGGAACGACAGCAGTGGAGTGGGATTTTAAGACAAAGTGACATTTCATGGTTTTCATTAAAATCTGGAGAATTTATTTTTTAATCTTTGAAAGTGAAAAGTGGTTTTCTTCCTCCCCTCTCCCCCTCCCCCTCCTTCTCCTTCTTCTCCTCTTTCATTTTCTGACAGATTCCAGAGAACCTAAAGCCCATCTGGGGTGAGGGGCTCAGGACCCCACAGAGTGTGGCAGGATGTGTGCTGCGTGTTTAAAGAAGGGCAGCCATCTCTCCTTTAGGGACACCCCTGGTTCTGCAGAGGTCCTGCCTCCGGTAAGCAAGGCTCCAGTTGCTGGTCCTCCCAACTTCTCCATCGATGGTGCTGGTCTCTAGAGGGACAACCCAGAGTTCACTCACCAGTAACAGAACACACTGAGGTTCCCAGTCCCTGACTTCTTCATCAAAACACAGGACAGGGTACACCCTCTAGAGACAAATGAGCTAATGGGATAATACCCGTCCAATGAGCCCACCCCACCACACCCAACCCAAGGCCAGAAAAGGAAGCTCCACAGGAAGGGCCCAACTTGTGCTCTTCTATCTCCACTCCTACCAGCCCGGTCCCTTCTGCCAACTTTCAGCCTCATTCAGAGTCTAACAGGAGAAAGAGAAGGGGATGGAAATCGTTGGGTGAAAGAACCAGTTTAATTCTCCCAGGGAAATCTCTACTCACAAAGGTAACAAATTTTGAAGTAGGAAAAGACCTTAGAAATGATCTGATCCAAACCTCTGAGGCCCAGAGAGCCCAAGAAACTTTCCCAAGGTTCCCTAACAGATTAATGACCAGGCAGGACTAGAACCCATATTTCCTGCCCACCAGTGCAGTACTCACCCCCGACACACACAGCCTTCTGACTGTGTACCCAGGCAGCACTGGACCAGGGTCACAGAATGCTGGAAGTGGGAGGAATCTCAGTGATTATCTGGTGGCAGAACCCCTCAGCCCCAAAGGAGAGCTCAGGGTCCATTTAGCCAGCATGCCTCCTTCAAGGTGCCTATTTTTTTTTTTTTGCATGTGTGCCTTGATATTAAAAGGTGGCATGCAGTAGACCTGTCCAACTTCCCCACTTTACAGATGCGGACAGTAAAACAACTGTTCGAGATTCCAACCTGGCAATGAACAGAGCCAGGGCCAGAACCCAGACCCACTCACTAATCTCTTACCTCATGCTGCCCTTGAGTTGACCAAGGACTCAGTGGTGATATTGGGGGTGCAGATGCCAGGGTGGGTATGGTGACAGTGAGAACAGGAGCTAACATTTATCGAGAGCCTACTCCATGCTAGGCACTGGTCTAAATGCACCACACAAACATCCAGCATAGAAAGTACAGCTATCACTCCCATTGTTAAGGGAGGAAACGGAGGCACAGAAAGGTACATGTTAACTTGTCCAAAGTCACAGAGCTGGTGGTAGAATGGGATCTAGTCTGGCTCTAGAGTCTGAATTTGTGAGGGCTCCTCTACACTGATCTCGCCTGTGTTACCCTAGAGCATTTTCATGACGTCAGTTCCTCCAGCTCTCCTACTGCAGCACCTCTTCCTGCCCAAACCCTTTCCCACCTGCTTAGGAGAGTGACACTTGCCCTAGGGGCTGGTCAGTTTCATTCTCATCATCTGCTACCCTGTGCTCTTCCCTCCAGGACATGAGCTCAAGAAGTCAGCTGAGCCAGACTTCCTGTGCCTCCATTCATCTAATGTAACTGGCTGCCTCCACCCCCGTGGGGATACCTGAGCTTGGGATGTTTCGAGTGCTACCAGTTCTACCTCCTGCCCCTGCTCAGGCTATCCATCCATCGTGTTATGCTAAGAGCATTGGCTAATGTCGGAAATGAGGCTGTGTAAAGAAACCAATCAGGAAGATAAGAAGAGCCATCAGCCGAAAAGCAGAGGAGAACCCAGGTAAGCCCTGGATACACTGCATGTCACCCTGGGAGGACCAGGTCATTTTTTAAACTGCATTCTTAATGACAGTATCAGATTCCACCTTTTCCTAGCTCCTTATCTGTCCAGCTATCCTTCCTTGGCAGTCTAGGAACGCCACCCATGAAGCAGAAAGGCCCACATCGCCTCCTCCAGGTGGGAAGCACATTCCCCAGGGAGGGTGACTGCCACACAGTGAATGTTCAGGCTGCTGTCGGAGGTCCCGCTATGTCCCAACAGAGCTGGACTGCACCCCCTGAACATCCACCCAGGTACTCATCTAGTCCCCACCTGTGCCTGACCTGCAGGGGCCCTCATTTCTTCCACTCCATGGTTCTGCCTCAAGCAGCTTTGGAAGCAGCCTATGGCTGACCACACCCACCTCCCATTCACTCATCATACTACATCGCTCAGGTCTGACCTGGCAATTCTTCAGCAGCCCCTTCATTTAAATTCTCTTGAAGTTACTTTTTACTTGAGAGGCTTAAGCATGCATAGAATGAATACTGCTTACTCTAAAGAACTTTCTTTTATCCCCAGATCACCTTCTTCTAACTTCTGACCATTACCCAAGATTTTTAAATCTTTCCCTAAAAACTTACTAATGAAACCTAACACCCCTATCCTGGGCATTGAGAAATATGGTAGTCCTATCCAAACAAATTCTTACTGCAAAAATGCCAAATATTAAGACCCAGCATGCCACCAGGGGGGGAAAAAAAGACCAGGGTTCAAATCCCATCTGATACTAAGCATATGGCCCTGGAGAATCTTTCACATGGGATTCATTTCATCACTAGGGAAAATCAGGGGTAGACCTATAAATCTTTAAGATTTTTTTCTAATCTCCATGACTCTATGACACTTCGATATTAGGGGCCTTGCAATTCTATGGTGACATGCCTTGGAGTTATGTTCTCTGAAGAACCCATTCATTGGTTTCTATGTGTACAGAAGGGCTCTGTGTTTTAAACTCCAGACCAGTGTTCCCAACTGTAACTACTTTAGAATCACCTGGAGAATTTTTTTTAAGAATGCCTGGGTAGAGCTCAGGCATCTAAAGTTTGCTAAAACTTTCTACAGAATTCTAACATGCTACCAAGGCTGAGAGCCACTGCTCCCAGGCCCTGGAGCCAAGAAACCGGGCTGTTGATGGCTACATTCTTATATCTCCTGGGCTGCTTCATCCTTGAGAGAGGTGAGGTCATGAAACTATCCTAGTACAGTAACAAAGGAGGGAACAAAGGTTGTGAAGTAGCCCATGATGACTATTAACACAATCACCTGAGTGGATCCCCAGGCAAGCTGAGCCATGTAAGTGCTTCAGATATGGGATTTTTTGGATTTGGGAATATTTGCATTCACATAATGAGAAAGTATGGGAAGGGGATCCAAGTCTAAACACAAAATTCATCTATGATTCACATGTATCTCATACACATAGTGTGAAGGTAATTTTATACAGTGTTTTTACTGAGCCTGTATTGAACTACTATCCATCATATGAAGAAGATGTGGAAGCTTCTACTTGTGGCATCGTGTTTCAGATTTTGGAGCAATTCAGATTTCAGATTTTGGATTAGGGACGTTAGAGCCATATGTGGGGGGAAAAATTAAAACCTAGGCATCGTGAGCCCTGTCCCCAGGATCCTGATTCATTGAGTCTAGGACAGGGCCTCTAACTGTGTTTTCACAGGCCTCACTGATGCAGACCCACAAACCAGCTGTAGGCACAGCACCATCTACAGAGGCTGCTGCCTGGTAAGCCCCAGAGGGCTGGCCTCTAGGACACAAGTCCCACAAGCACCCTTCCCGGGCCAAAGCACAAAGGATATTTCCATTCGACGATGCTTATACATGCTCTCCGGATGGGGTTCTTCAGGGTCAGACAGAGCAGGGCACGGGGTGGCCGCGTGGCAGTTGTGCCACCCTGTTTTTTGGGTTTCCCATACTGCTGCCGTTTCCGCTGCGTGGAGCTGACTGTGGAGATGGTCGCATTGCCAGCACTGCCCATCAGCTTGGCCTGCCGGGCTGCATCAATGGCTGCTTGCCAAGACAGGGCTGCCCCTGGGGTAGGGATGTGCTCAGGGGCAAGCCCCGCAGCTGCGTTGGCATTCATGTTGGCTGAGCGCGGGCTCCCATAGTTGGAACCTGCAGCAAAAGAGGAAAGAGGACAACAGTCACTAGAGGGAAAATAGGTGCACCTGGGACACAGATTCACATTTTTTTAAAAATTTCATTTCAAGCTATTGCATGAAATTGGGAGGTGACACATGAAAACACTAGTGTGATGTGCTAAGAAACAACCAGGAAATTGGTTCTAGGCTAAGTTTGGTCTAGTTCAGTTGGGTGACCTTGAACAGGTGGCTCCCTTCCCTGATCTCACCGCCTCATTTGAGGCAGACAAGAGACGTGCCTACCTCAGAATTCATGAACCTCAGCAGCACTGTACTAGTTAGGAAAGGAGGGTGCATTGGAAGATAGAACACAATGCAATGCATAAATTCCAACACATTTGTAAGAACAACTCACAAACAAAAGGATATTCTTCAAACAGAACAGAATGGTTGTTTAAGGGGGGTGAGGAAGAAAATCAGAGTAAGATGTGGGGATAAGAAGGAATAAAGAATGAATGCATGAGTGAGTGAGCATCATATAAATTCATAACAAATATGCATTGAAGAATGTAATTCACTTAGCTCTCTGCACCTGAGTTCCAGAACCAAAACTAAATACAATAAAACGAGGGGACTGAACTCAAGTTAAGTTCACATCCAGTGCTACAGCTTAGATCTTAAATGTCCCCCCCCAAAGACCTCTGTGTTAAAGGCTTGGCCTTCAGGGAGATGTTACTGGGGGTTGTGGATCCTTTGAGGTAGGGCCTAACAGGAGGTCTTTGGGTCACTGGGGGCATGCCCTTGAAGGGGACTCTGGGACCCTAGTCTCTTCCTCTTCCCTTTTGATTCCTCGGTGGGATGAGTAGTTTTGCTCTGCCACATGTTCCTGCCCTGATGTGCTGCCTCACCATAGGCCCAAAGCAACAGGACCAATTTATTGTTAACTGAAGCCTCCAAACCCATGAGCCCAAACAAATCTCTTCTCTCCATAAGATGATTATATCAGGTATCTGTCACAGAGATGGAAATTGCAAATCCAGGCCCCCAAAGCATCTGACTTAAGTTTGGCACAGGTGGGAGAGGGAGGGGAGCTTGATGGTTTAAATTATAGGCAAATCCCTTGACATCTGACATCTCTCACAGAGAAAGAAGGTCTAGGACCTCTCCTCTTGAAATGAGTTGCCCTTTTCTGACTTTTTCCACTAATAAAGTACAGCAGAAGAGACACTATGGGATTTCCAAGCTCAAAACGGCCAAGTTGCCTAGACCTGAGTTTCTCAGGATGGATAGCTGAAGGAAAGCAAAAGCCACCATACTGTGAGGAAGCCTACTAGCTGCATGGAGAGACCATGTGGAAAGAGAGAGTCCAGATAAGCCTACAGCTGCTGTAGTCACCAACTGCACTTCAAGAGAGACCCCAAGCCAGAACAGTGCCAAATGAGGAACTTCCTGAATTTCTGACCCATAACAACTGAGAGATAACAAGATGCTTGCTATTGTAAGCCACTTTGCTTTGGGGTGATTTATTATATAGCATATGACATCTGAGGAGGGGAGCTATGTGGCATGGTCAACAGGATGGAGTAGAGAGTACTGTCCAGGAGAAACTCTTGATAGGAGCCAGCAAAATCCAGAGGGCCCTACCTAAGAAGAGATGGCTACACTGCTCTGGTTTAAAGGTACCAAAGCCTTCAAGAAAGTCCCTAAGACACCACATACGCATGACACTCTCTAGTCTGTTAGGAAAGATGCCTTACCCTAGAATCTGTAAGGTTTGCCAAATAATCAGCTCACCCTGGACCCAAACGTGTGCCTCCCAGAACAGATGTTCGACCTTGATATTTGTAATGCCGGTGAGCTGACCTAGTGCAGTGAGATCAACAAAAGCCTCAGAGAATGGAATGCTACCATGAAAGGTGAATCTGGCATGTGGATACCACTTCAATTGCTTGGAGACAGTGGCGGAGCAGCCAGACCAATTTCACATACATCAATTGAGTCCTCCCACAGTGACCTTCTCTGCTCAGTGTACACAGGTCCTCCCAAGGCAGCTGCTGGGCACAGAATGAACTACATTGTTGAACCCCTTCCCTCTCCTCACCTGGGGCTCCTCAGTATACAGGTGGAAACGTAGAGCCTCTCCCAATCATCTCCCCAGCTCTTGGCTTGTGCTGGTCCTTCTATGTTTGGACTCCAAGATAACTTTGCTCCCAGGGTGACCTGCTTCCTAGAACCTACCATCACCACGACTACTCTTGACTCCCACAGGAGCCTGTTAAGGGCACTTGGCCCAGCTTGGCCAGTGTTTTGGTTAAACTTCTAGATTGAGAAGGGCCTAGAAATTAAAAAAGCACACTTCTAGGTGAGTCTGTGAAGGTGTTTCCAGAGACACTTGGCATAAAGGTCAGCCAACTGAGGGGGAAGACCTGCCCTGAATGGCAGCACCATCCAATAGGCCCAGATGGAACAAAAAACAGACAAGAAGGGGCAAGTGCATGCACATGCACACTCAGCTTTTCTTGAGCAGTAGGTTTACTGCTGCTGCCATTAACATAGACATCAAACTCCAAGTTCTTCACCCTCTCACTGTGAACTTGCACCAGCAAATCTCCAGGGGCATTCCAAACCTTCAGCCTGGGACTGGGGCCTTCCTTATCTGGTCCCCCTTGTTCTGCACGTCCACCTTTTAGACTGAGCAACTACTGGTTTCTCCATTTCTCCAATCTGCACATGGCCAGACTGATTATGTAAGCCACACTAAAAAAAAAATCCCCTCTAATAATTGCATGTACATTCTATTTGTTCTGTTCCTCTGGAGAGCCCTAATACAACAGACAGAATATTTTCACCCTACAGAGTCCATCCCAGAGAGAGAACTCAGGATCATGGGATTCTTGCATCCAGCCATGCCAGAAGTTAGCCCTACTTTGAGGGACAGGAGGTGAAACAGGTGTGACTCTGGAAGCTGGCTTCCACCAAAGCTACACTCAAGGTCGGCATAGCCACTCTTATTTTAAGTCATTTCCCCACACTCACTGTGATAATTAAGTTATTTAGGAACTCATCTATGTTGGGTTTCTGCCTCATGCAACCAAGAAAGACCTAATATGCTTACTCAGTGCCCAAAACGTGTACCCAACTGAGCTGTCATTTCTGAGAGATTCCATAGTCTATGTCCTCTCCATCATAAGAGGGAGAGACAATGAGCTTCAACACTTACGCCAATTGACTGACATCATTGTCCAAATGCTGTACTTACAGGATTCTGAGACTTTCCTGAGCAAGACAAGAAATCACATCATGATAGATCAGTGATGCCTATCATGGCACAAGGGGTAGGGAATGGTAAATACACAGGTGCCACGTACTTACCACCCCAGCTTGACCCCAAGATGAGCACATCAGGTCTCCCTGGGTACCAGCTCATCAGCTATACTACTGTCGTCCATTCTGTTGCATTAGAGCCCCACCCCCCTTTCCAGGGCCTAGAAAACTGCCTCCTTACTGAACCGAAGTCATGGCCGCATTCTCAATGTGACACGGATTCCCACCTCACCACTGATTCCCTTTGCCCTCCTCCTTTTTTCTGCCCCACTGGCTCCAAGCAGCTGCTGCATCCTAGGGGTAAAGTATATTAACCAGAATATCAGGCTCATGGAGAGCGCAGCACTTCTGTGTGCTGAGAAGTCTCCTTGACCACATAGCTTGTCCCAGTCTTCCCCGTGCTCACTGTATGGATCCCTAGCCTAATGTGAGGAAGGCCTCAAGAAAGCTTACCTTTCTTATAAGACCCCAGAGGGAAAAAATTCAAAGAGTCGATTTGAATTAATAAAGGCACCTGAAGCACAAGAACCGCTTTAATAAGCAGCAAGATGAGTATCTCCACTTAACACATAAGAAAACAAAGGAGCATATGACTCACTAAAGGTCACAAAATGAGACAATGGAAGATTTCTGCAGCACACAGGACTCAGTGAGCTGCCAGACTATACTCCCGCCTCCTCAGATCTCTCTGTCACACAGACACACACACACACTCCACATGCATACACACGTGTGTGCTCACATGCACGGTGACAAACAGAGCACACACCTCTTCTGGGTTTTGTGGGCTTTGGGATGGAACAGGCTGCATTCCTAAAAACATCCTTAAACTTAAAAGGATCTTCATAGGACAGTGTCCACTACACCATCAGCCTCCTTGGGAACCCTCTGGGGTGATTATAGGAACCTCCAGGGTGAATGACAGTAGAAAGTGTCCTGCTTATGCATCAGAGTGACCAAGTCCAAAGTAGCCCAATCTTCCATCTTCTGTGGTTCCCCAGAGAGGGCTGGAACTCTAGTTTTGCTCCATTCAATCTGTGGTAAATCATTTTTCCTTCCTGGACTCTCTTTGGCAATGACAAAATTTAATAGAGTCTATTTTGGTTCCTGGACTAACTCTTCTTCCCTCACACATATAAAAGCAGCCCTGTCCCCTGCTTTCAGCCTACCAGACCCCACTTCTCTACATATGACAAGACCTCACACTTCCCCTGAGGTGAGTGTCCTCCAACCCTCACCTTGGCCCTTCCCTGGCTTGTCTTTATCTCCCTCTCATCTCAGCTGCCAGTTCCAAACACCAAGCAATCCCAGGAACGTCAGGACAACACTTGAGAAAAGGGCTGGAGGCAACAGGCCTGAGAACACATCTATTGCCCTGTTAAGGCTGTATGTGGGTGCATCCTTCACCCTGATCCCTTACCGTGAGACAGAGGCGTCCATGAGCAAGATGGTGGCTGCCTCCACAGAGCCAGGAGGCAGTTCTGAACACCAGGTCTTGGTAAGCTGACTTCTGAGCACCCCCAGCCTGCACTCCATGGGGGACCTTATTTATATTGTGAACTGTTCCCAGAACACAAGGATCTCTCTGGAGCATACCATCTGGAGAAAGCACATATGAATAGGCCCATGGGGAAAAGTGGAATGTCAACTTCTCCCTAGCCAGAGGACAAAAAAACAACCAGTATTTTGGTCCAGGCAGTCCAGAGCACA